GTACACCTTAAGAGATATCAAGTAGGCGTAACATGTTCTCAAAAAATAGGGTTGGCACGCAGAAGAATTTTGAGTCAGAGATTTTGCTGGTTTTGGCACGCACTCACAAAAAGGTTGCCCACCCCTGGACTAGAGTATCAGACCAGGAGGAAATTAGATTAGAAATGCTAAAAACTAGTTAGAGGCTTTGGACTTTGCCAGAAAAAAAACTAGTTTGTATCAAAACAGAATAAACACTTTAAGAAAGATCAGAAGCAAAGATGCTGGTATCCAGATCCAGATAAAGTGGTTTAGGAAAGTGGAATATGCTTCCTTCTTTAAGAGAAAAAAATGGGAGGCCAAGGGAAGAGGTAAACTTTAGAAACGATTGGACTTCCCACTTGGAGAGGAAGGTCATATTATTCTTACAATCTCTCTCCTCTCCTTCTTAGCAATTAGGGAATATGAAAGATTTCATTGGGAATAGCCTCAGGGGGAGAGTCAAAGGTGGAAAGACCTAAATGCATCAAAGGTGAGGTAACTGGGAGAGGAAAGGGCCCATGGCTGTCAGTTCTCAGCTTCAACATAGTCTTCTGAAGACTTCCAGGAAACTGGTTGCAAGTGAATAACAGTTGATTTTTACTTCATGGACCACATTTCCTAGGCTTAAACTTGGTCATCAATTGTATGCAAAATGTCTGCTCTAGAGAATAGCCCCACTGGTCCAGTTCTGCATTCTGCATTCAAGGGCTCAATGCTGCTGCCACCTCCATTGACTAGACCATTCCACTTATCTTATTTCTCTTTCTTTTTAATTATAGGGTCCTTGTTCTGAGCTCTTTCTCAGACTTCATCCAGTTCTGTTTCTTCTGGCCCCTACAGACAAAGTCCTGGCCTCATTCTTAAATAGCACATGCCTCCTGGAATTGCCTCCATCATTGGCCCTTACTTACATTGACAAATGTCACTTAAAAATCTCATTTTCATCTTTATAAAATTATAGTTCTTTGTAACCCCCAGACATATATCTTTGGCAGAGGTATCCAGCACATGCTGTCTCTGAATCCAGATGGCTTTGCAGCAGCCCCGAGCTATGCATTCTACAAACTACTGTGCCAAAGAAGTAGTGTTCTATCAATTGACAGAGTAATATTAAAATAGGGTGATTCAAAGACCCTGCCCAGGAGCTAGCTCAACATCTTGTTATGCCCCACAAAATGCATTTCTAGTTGACTCAAATCTATTTTACCTTCAATAGGAATGGTTTTCATGGCACATCATAACCTAGCTGAAGGGGCAATAAACACCATCAACTTACATTATAAATACCAACAATTTGCCAGATACTAGTCTACATTCTCTGGTTATACAAAGAGAAATAAATTCCTGCCCTTAAGATATTTACTAAGAAGATCTAGAAGCTCTAGTTCATGTTTGAGCATGGTAGCTGATACTAATACTGACATGCTTATCATTGGAATGAATATATCGTGTAAGTGCCACCATGGCACAACACTATGTCAACTCCAAGAATAGCACTGAATCCTCTTGGTGGCCTTAGTAGATATGGGATGTCCCCAGGAGAGATGAGGTCCTTATGGAGGTTGCTCTTGAGAGATACAAATGCTGCGATGGCTCTTAGACATACTGTGAAAGAACTGAATCTATCTGGAGTTGCAGGAGAGAGGATTCTGTGTGATCAATTCTATGTCAAATGACTGATGGGTAGCCTAGGCTAAAAAAACTTGTGACTCTGGGTCTGTGAACAATCTATTAGATAGTGAAGCACACTTGAGAAGCTAGTTATCAGAATGGTACTCACATTAATTGAGATATGATAAAAGATCACCTAAGCAGACTTACCATCTGCTCCTTCACTGCTTTTGCTTCTTTTATTTCGACGGACACGCCTACTTTCTGCTTCAGTGTATGACTTTTCTTCAGGGAAGAAAAAATTCAGCAGGGCCATCTGTAAAAACAACAAATAGATGAATGAAAGGTTGAACCCAGTCAACCATAGCTGACATAAAAAACTAGTTTCCTGTAGACATTCTAGCTTCACCTCAAATTCAGCATGTCTAAAACTTGAGCCCATCTTCCCCTCCACTGTAGAAATCCTTTTATTTTTGTTACCATTATTATTCCAGTCATGTAGACATGAAATTTTGACTAAGCTCTGAATCCCCTCTCTTCTGCCCTGAATGTCTAATGACTAATCCTCCGAGTCCCATTTCTCCATACAGTTCTGGGATTCAGAGAGCCCAGTCATGGATTTCTAATTTCCTTCATGTACTACTGATGTCTGCCCAGAATTAGACTTGAGTTTGCAACTCCCTCTCGAACTTCATTAATGTACATTCATAAACTTCCCACATTCCTATTTATACTAAACTTTTGGTTTGTTCCCAGAATGCTCTGCATCCAGTTATGATTGGAAGATGCCATTTATGTAAACATTCTTCTGGGAGTTAATCATGACAAAATACACACTTATTTTCTCTGTTTCCTAGACTCCTACAGAACTCCTATAGCAGTTGGGTATATAAGACTCATTTTGGTACTTGATCCTTTACTCTCTTATGATGATCTCTCATAATAATACAATATGTTTCATATGTGAATGGGCCTGTTTCACTAATGATAACCACAGCTTAAATATGTACTTGCTAAAATGAATCATAATATTTCAGCATACAGTAAGTGCCTCTTTGTGGTTAAAAACATGCTTGAGCTAAATAGTGGACAGAGTAATAGGAATGAGAGTGATTCTAATCCGACTTTGCCAATTATAGCTGTGTAGCCTTGAGCAAATTACTTGAGTTTTAATTTCCTCATCTGTAAATAGAGATAATAAATAGTACTTTGCTCCTAAAGTAGTTAAAGGGTTAGCACAGTACCCAGCATGTAATATGTACTCAATAAGTGTTAGCTATTATTATTATTATTATTATTAAAATCAATCTTCCAAATAGACTGGTTAGAGAGTTTGGGGGTTAAAAAAGAAGTGAATCTGCATTTTCACCCTAGTGTTAATGTTAAAAAAATAAACAACTTTAGAATCCTCATGTCTGCTGCATCTCTTGTTAATTGAAAACAAAAAGTTGGTACAACTCACGAAAGCCTTATCATTCTATACTAACTTTCTTCAAAACCCTGTGGTTTACTGTTTACATAGAACAATTATACCCAACAGCCTTAATGTACAAGATTAGCATTTTGCATAATATATTTTTGTGTTAAATAAATATAAAGTTAATAAGTGAATGCTTAGGTAATTTCCAACTTGTCATAAGATTAATTTAAAAAAATTTAAGTTGAACAATATGAAACTCATTTTTGTAAGTAAAAAATGGTTGAATATTAGCAATTTCACATGGTTCAACTGAACAGTATTTTTGAATCACTTGATTGGAATGTAAAATGCATTTTCCCATAAAATCAACATAATAAACTCTGGCTAGGTTTCCAGACAAAGCCCATAGAAAGTTACTTAACCCATAACATAAATAAGCTATTATACTACTAAAAATATAAACCCAAACTGATATTTACAATAAAATCTCAATCATTTGAAACTCCAAAAGAACAAGTCTACCTGGATTGAAGAGTTTTCTTGGTAATTCTGAGTACTGAAACTTATTTCAGCTATTTTTAATAGAAATTAATCCACAATATATGATTTAATTCAGGGCTTCTTGGAGGAGGTGTTACCTCTGTGAGTCCTGAATGATGTCAATGATTTAGTGATGGAAAACAAAAAAGAGCCCTAGCTGATTTGGCTCAGTGGATAGAGCATCAGCATGAGGACTAAAGGGTCCTGGGTTCGATTCTGGTCAAGGACACATGCTCGGGTTGTGTGCTCGATCCCCAGTGAGGGGTGTGCAGAAGGCAACTGATCAATGATTCTCTCCCATCATTGATGTTTCTATCTCTCTCTCCCTCTCCCTTCCTCTCTGAAATCAATAAAAATGTATTTTAAAAATAAAACAAAAAAGGAAATTCCAGGTGAAAGGAGCATTGTGCTTAAAGGTTCAGAGGAAAGAGAGAGAATAGCAGTTTTTGGAAATACAAGTAAATTAAAATAAGGGGTAGGAGGTTGGGAATAATGTTAAAGAATGAGCCAAAAGACATTAAATAAGGGCTAGATCATGTTAAGGAATTTAGATTATCCTGCAGCAGGGGGATCCTCTGAAAGATTTTTCCCCTTTGTAAATGTTGTACTTTATGAAAATTTAAGTTGTAATCTACATACAATAAAATGCACACATTTTAAGTATAAAGTTTGAAGAGTTTTGAAAAATGCACACAACTTTGTAACCACTACCCAAATCAAGACAGAACATTTCCATCATCCCAGAATTTTTTCTTATGGGCCTTCCAGTCATCCTTTAATGCAATCTCCCACCCAAGACAACCACTCTTCTGATTTCTATCACCACAGCTTAGTAATTCCCATTCTAGAATTGCACATAAATGAAATCATACATTATGATTGTATGATTTTTGTGTGTTGTTACTTTCATTCAACAATGTCTGTGAGACTCATCCATTTTGCTGTGGGTATCAGTAGTTCATTCTTTTTTATTGCTGAGTAGTATTTTATTGGATGGATATATCACAATTTCTAAATTCATTTACCTTTTGAAGGACATTTGGATTATTTCCAGTTTGGGGCTATTTATAATAATAAAAGCATAATATGCAAATCGACTGAATGACTGAACAGCAGAACGACCGCCTGGACGACCTTCCGGACGACCACACTATGACACCCACTGGTGCCAGGCCAGCCAAGACGGGTGTGATGTGATTGGTCAGGAGCCCAGCCATCTTCTCTCCATGATCACCCTGCAGAGGTAGCAGTCGGCGGGGGCGATCAACCAATCGGGGGACTCCATGATTGCCCCAAAGAGGGAGGTCCAGGCCACCAACCGGCATTGGCACTGCGGCGGGTGGCGGGGCCTCCCTCTGCAGGGTGATCCATTGCAGAGCGTCAGCTGAGTGGGCAGGGCCTACCTGTTTGGGGAGATTGATGCGGGGCTCCCAGACTGTGAGAGGGCACAGGCTGGGCTGAGGGACCCACCCCGCCCAGTGCATGAATTTTGTGCACCGGGCCTCTAGTTATGAATAAAGCTGATGAGCACTCATGTACAAGTGTTCGTGGGGGACATATGTTTTCATTTTTCTTGGGTAAACACAAAGGGGTGGAACCTCTGGGTTATATATTAAGTATTTGAACTAAGGAACTGCCAAACTGTTTTCCAGAGTGACTGTACCATTTTATACTCCCACCAGCAATGTATGAGAGTTCCAGTGCTCCGCATTTTCATTACACTATATTGTCAATATTTTTTATTTTAGCCACTCTTGTGGATGTGAAGTAGTTTTACTGTGGCTGGTTTTTGAAATCTTAACCTTCTTTTTAATGCTTTTTTGTGTCTTACCTTGCTGTCAACTACCAGATTTCACTTTACTAACCTGCAACATCTTTCCTAGTCCCTTCAAATTTGCTACTTATAATGTTATAGGCTTAACATCTTGTTAAAACTAATTAGAATCATGTAGAAACAGAATAAATAGGTAGTCAATGAGTTTTTGAATAGTTTTTCCAATAAATAAGATGCACATTCTCTGGCAGCTTAGAGGCCATTTGTTTATTGCTCAATCTGGGTAGGCGAATTTGTCAGAAAACTGAGTTTTACATGATGTGTCATTACAATATAATGCTATTTCTGGGGGAAAGGAATTTTGAAGTCCAAATGAAGAATCTCCCCACCATCACAACTACAATTCCAGAATTTCCTTCACACTCTTTGTGTTCTGGAAGGGCCTCCAGCACCTTCTTGTGCCCTGATGTCAGCAGTAAAATGTGCTTACATATTAATTGTTCCAAAGGGCCTGATGGAAGTTTGTAAGAATTTAAGAGTGATACAAAATCTTGTAGATAGCAGATACAACTCCAGTTTCTATGGGTACTAGGGGTAGCTTAAAATCCCTTAAGAGAGGCTATGGATGAGTATGGGACATTCATAAATCAAGTGTTTATTAGATGGGGACTATCTGTATATGAAAATGCTTTAAATATAGTTTCTATTTTCTCAATAAAAACTGAAAGGAAACAACACAAAACACAGCTTAAACTGAAAGAGGATCCCTATTCACAGTGCCCTTTTGTTTATTGCTCAATTCCCGAGTCTCAATTAGATGAAAGAGGGAAAACTATCCTCTGTGTAGTATAATGGTAAGGACAAAAAATCAGTGGCTGCTTATACAAAAAGTCTGCAATTCTAGCTTGAGTTTTTCATTCATTAACATGGCCTTCTGAGGCAAGTTGCAAAATATGAACAAAACAGCTTTCTCTCTTCAAATATTGCTTTCTTATTGCACAAGGCGGGAGGCATCAGGAATGTTGGCCACAGCCAGGCATTTTGCTCAAGGAAAGAAAAGTCTAATTCTTTACACTTTATTAACTGATTACTCCCTTGTTTCCTATGGTAAAATTACATGGTAAACAGCACCTGCAGATTACAGAGATCTTAGCTGGAAACAATTCGTTAACAATGATACACGAGAGATGCATCCATTAGTGCTAGTGACTCTCCAGATATTGTTACATTTTTTCCACTATTTAAACCCACAAAATTTTATTAGGTACTTTTTTCTTTTTACCATGACATAGAATAAATTTAATTAATTTCATGGCTAATATATTTGAATGTATTAGCTCTGGGCCTGTCCCAAAGTAGGTCTCTAATAAATATCTATCTGTTGAAAAGATAATGGGACTATCAGTAATCCATTCCTTAACCAGTTAACTGCCACGATATTTTGAATTTAATTAAAAAAGGTCCACTGCTTGTGTCTATAGATGCTTATGGTGTACAAACGGTTAAAGACAGGATTTTATTTTACCCTAATTGGACCTCATTTCTTAGGATCAACCATGGAGAGGTAGACTAAGGACTCATT